GTATGTCGCTGTGACGGAGGCTAAGCTAAGGAGCTAACCGGAAATCACGTGTGCTGTAAACAACCCTGCTGAGAGGAGAAATATACCGAGCCGAACGAGACGACTGTAAATGAGAGCTGCTGCTTTGTCAGACAAATTTATTTTAATTTGGAAACCTTATCAACACAAACTGGCTTCATTCTCTTCCTCCACTGCCGTATGCTAAAATAACTAGCAGACACTGCGCAGAACATTGACCGTTCAAAACGCCTCCTTCTGTTCTCTGATTGGTCCAGGTAAAATTCTCCTGAAGAAATCCTTGTCTATGGGAGAAGTCCCAGACGGAGCAGTGAGGGGAAACTAGAATTAAGCTGAACTGTGTAGGAAGGCAAGGGCCAGGCTAGTTTAACGGGTGTTTGAAAACATGAACAAATAGCCTTTTAGATTAAAAAAAACTACTATTACTTCAGGGTATTATACTTGTTTTTGTCTAAACAAGTCTGAAACACTGCCATGGCTATCTTGCGAAAATGAAATGACGAATCCACCAACATCAGCAGTGAGGATTCTCAGAAGTCACTAGCCAAAAAGGATGTTTGAGGGAATGGTCTTAACAGCTTTGCTAAGATGGCAGCCACATGTTGACGATAGTAATGTGATTAATGTCTTTATGTTTTTTTGCCAAAAGCACTCATTTATCAGAGAACGTTTATGTCCACAGTACMAGACCTGTGACTGTCTGCTCACACTCACTGCAAACATCAAGTTTCTCCTAAACGTCTCAAGCTGATTGAGTGTAAGGATGGAGCCTGCCTGCCGTAAGGATAAACCCAAGCTGAACTCCACCCCCACCAGAGGAGACAGAGCTAAGCAGAAGTCTGCCCAGCAGGACCTCAAACAGAGACAGAGGGTCGAGGTGAGCAAGCTCGATAAAGTTTCTTTGTGTTGTTTCTCACTCTGTTTGTAACAAACCTGTGGAACSTCTTCTTGACAGATCTACGCACTGAACAAGGTGATGACAGAGTTGGAGCAGCAGCAGTTTGAAGCCTTCTGCAAACAGATGCAGTCACAAGAAGACTGATGAAGATCCCATTGACTCATCCTCTGTTACCTTGGAGAAAACGCCACACTTATCCTTACTTTCACTTTCATTCCCAGTCACTTTGATGTGTCCCAGGAGTGTGTTTCTGCTGGGACGTTCAGGACAGACTTTGATTTCAGGTACAGGAAATGCATCAGTCACAGGTGATGCAGTACTATTCAGCTGTGTTTGTTAATAATCACAACAGGAAAACAAAGTGAGGGAAGATGTTGTGTAAATGCCCTACATCAAACAAAACACTCACTTAACAGCAGACAGGAGTATTTACCTTTTTATCTATTTGTTGTTTTCACATTGTGAAATTCTGTTCAGTGTTTTTTATTCTACATCAGGTCTAGGTTAGGAAAAGCACTCACCAGTTTTTATTTTTAGATCATTTATTTTTATGCAGTGTATTCACAGTCTAACGGAGAGATATCTGGAGTTCATCAGTCAGTTTGACACATGGCATGTAGGAAACCTTTTATTGTTTCTCCGCCCACAGGACAGCACGTTCTGCAGAGACCCCTACTTGTCACAATCCGGAGCACCCCAGTCCCAGTCACCATGTCTTGTACATCATCACTGTTACAGTGGGATATCAACAATTCTTGTTTACACTGCAGAGGATAGAAACACTGATTCTCTTCCTGTTTAAATTTATCTAATTACTAGGAGTGCAACAAAACATGTACCTGTATCGAACCGTTCAGTACAGACTTGTATCGAACAATACAGATTTTAAAAATTTATTTATCAGCTTGTCTTCTGAAGATGCTCTGTGTTGAAGGATCAGTGGATCTGTGTTCGACTATTTCACCTAGGCTGCATTGTCGAGTGCAGATCCACCAAGAA